CTGCCTTTCTCTTTCCTATCTGTCTGTCCCTTTCTTTCTCTCTTTCTCTTTCTCTTTCTCTTCTCTTTCACTTTCTCTTTCTCTCTCTCTCTCTCTCTCTTTCCTTCCCCCCTCTACCTTACCTATCCCTCTCTCTCTTCATCCCTCATCCTTCTCCCTCTCTCCACACCCGACTTAACATTACCCCCCCCCCATAAGCGTCCATCCATCACCCTCACTATGAAAAAAATAGCAAAAAAAAATAAAAATAAACAGAACAAATAGATAAACAAAAGACAAAAAGAGCTAACGACCCCACCAGAGCCTGGGAAAGACCCGAAATCGCAGCAACAAGCCTCCACTTGCGATACGAGAAGGCGCCTCGACACACAAGAGCTGTCGACTCTTGACATCTCTCGAGGCCGCTCTATCAACGCGTTATCTTATCTTGCACTTACAATGAGACAATTCAGTGCCTTCATAACGTAATGCGAAGCGTATAAAGTGACTCCGAATAATTTCGGTCAATGAGATGCATTGTGGGAGAGTTCGGAGAGTCAAAGGGACTGAAATAAGACACACGCACACAGAGAGAGAGAAGAGAAGAGAAGAGAAAAGAGAGGAGAAAGAAAGAAAGAAAGGGAGAAAGAAAGAAAGAGAAATGGAGAAAGGAAAAAAGAGAGAGAGAAAGAAGGAAAAAAAGAAAGAAAGAGAATGAGACAGAAAGAGAAATACAGAAAGAAAAAGAGAATGAGACAAAGAAAAAGAAACAAAAAGAGAGAAAAAAGTAAAGAGAAAGAGAAAGAAAGAGAAATAGAGACCGAGAGAAATGAAAAGGGAGGGGGAAACCTTGTCTCACACCTGGCAAAATCCCACACAAGCTTAATTCATTACGAAGACCTCTGAAAAATCGACATAAGTCATAGACAAGGTAAAAGAGTAGATCCCACATTCACCTGCATTAAATCTTTAAACGGCAAGATCGCTCATAAATCCATAAAATATTAACAATAATGTCCCTTGATCCAAACAATAAAAAAATCAAAAATGAAATTGGCAAAAAAGAGACCGAAAAAATAAAACAAACTCGCACGCATCGGTCAACATCACACTTAAATATACAAGACAGCATACACCATATAAAATTTAAACCAACCCTAAAACGAGCCAAAAAAACATCAAAACATCAACCACGACCAACAAAACACCACCACCTACATACAAAACCACATACTTACACAAAAACAAAAAAACTTGAGCTGTAAAGTCGAAACCCCAACATTTACAAACGCAACAACAACCCTTAAAAGCGCCCCCCTAGTGCAACCTGCAACATTAAAACAACATCAAACCTCCAGCTCGATGCAAACCTAAACTCAGCTAAACACCGCAAAGTTAAACGAATACTTTGCAAGCTGCACGTCACTCGCAATACACATAGCTGTCTCCCTCAGGCACGGGCGCACGTGGCCGGCCGGAGACGACTTAATGACCAAGGTGAGCAGCTGCGCCACGACGCCCGGTCGGACGAGGTGATCGTGCCGGGGGTAGTGGCAAAGGTCATAGTAATAACACTAGTAATAACAATAATAATAATAATAATAATTATTATTATTATTATTATTATTATTATTATTCTAATAATAACAATAATAATAATAACAATAATCATTATTATTATTATAATGATAATAGTAACAATGGCAGTAATAGTGATAATAATGATAACAATAGCAATGACAGTAATAGTGATAATAATAACAATGGCAATAATAATTAATAATATTAATAATGATAAGAAAAACAACAATAATGATGACAATAACAACAACATTAATAATAATATTAATGATCATAATAGCAGTAATAATGATAATAACAATCAATAACAATAGTAATAACAATGACAATAACAAATAACTAAAACAACTGGAATGATGGTAGTAACAATAATAATGATAATAATGAGAATAAGAATATATACATACATGCATGCATACATGCATACATACATACATACATACATACATACATACATACATACATACATACATACATACATACATACATACATACATACATACATACATACATACATACATGCATGCATACATGCATACATACATACATACATACATACATACATACATACATACATACATACATACATACATACATACATACATGCATGCATACATGCATACATACATATATGCATGCATACATGCATACATACATACATACGTGCATGCATGCATACATACATACATATATACGTACATACATACATACATACACACACACACACACCACACACACACACACCACACACACACACACCACACACACACACACCACACACACACACACACCACACACACACACACCACACACACACACACAACACACACACACACAACACACACACACACAACACACACACACACAACACACACACACACAATCACACACACACACACAATCACACACACACACACACCACACACACACACACACACAC